TAACATGGTGTAACACTTTTTAATTCAGCCATCGCTATATTTTCAAGTTCTAAAGAATTTCATCCTTTTGTTGTATATTCTTGTTGGTACATCCCTGCTACCTCTCTCATAACGATTTGAAGTCAATACAACAACAATAAAAAACCCAGCAGACAAAAATGTAAATTGAGGCAGATGTTACAGTTTTGCACTCACTCTCAGTTTTGCATTTGACAGTTATCTCTTACTTAGTTGGAAGTCAGATGACTTTTTTCTGTATTGTAATTTATTGAAGAAGTGATCACCAGTAAATAATATAGTTAATCAGGAACCATAAATGTAAATAATAGATTTACTGCGGAAAGGCGGGACCGCACGAAAAGTGGCAAAAAATTTTGGAATTTGCTACTTGAAAATGTTAAGACTGAGAAAAAAATATAGCCTAAAGTGTTCCCAAGAACAAAGGAAGTTTGTTAAAAAATATTACGGTACGATATCTTGTGAACTTAGCAGCAAGTAGCGATGCAGCCACTATTACAGAAGCGCTTAAGGTATTAAACTTTAACGCAAATCAATAGACAGCGAGGCGAAGAATTGCCAAATTGAGCTCAAAGGATCATAAAAGGAGAAAAAAGCAAATTTGATCAAAATACATGTGCGAGTGCGGCAGCATTTTGCTGCATCGCACGAAATCCGAACCGTTGCCTATTGGGATATGTTACGCCGTTCAGAATGCAATAAAAAACATATTTTTAAGTTTCAATTGCAGGTTATTTGGTCCGACAATAACTAAAACGACTAAATTAATCGCTTTCAATCAGATGGCCGGGCATGGTATTGGGTCAAAGACCCAAATTAAGCCCATGCGCAGCATGTAAGGCTAACTGTGAATAACAGTGGTCGGTCAATAATAGTTTGGGGTTGTATTTCAAACATTTTCTTTGTCTGTTAGTACACATTATGCGTGAGGAACAGTATCTGTTCATATTTCAACAAAATTTGCAAGATGTAGTCGAAAAAATTAGAGTTTCTGCTGAAAAATTACTCAAAACACACTGCACATATTCGCAAAGACTGGATACAAAAGCAAAAATTTGCTGATTTGAAATGACCTCCACAATCCGCGAACATGAATCTCATTGAGAATTTGCGAAAACAACTAAAAGCACAGCTTAATAAGTATCAAAGTCCGTAAAATCGAGTACATGAGCTGTGAAAGCATACTAAGGATATACCTCCAGAATTTTTACAGAGATACAAATAAGGTATGCCAAATCGTATCCAGGAACTGAAACAAGCAAAAGAGTACTGAACATTGTGTTAGTAGTTCTTTTTTTTCGTGAAAATTGTTAAAAAGTTCTTAAAAATGTATGAGGGCAAAACTGTAACATCTGCCTTAATTTACATTTTCTTCTGCTGGTTTTTTTAATGTTGTTGTATTGACTTCAAATCGTTATGAGAGAGGGAGTAGGGATGTACCTACAAGAATATACAACAAAAGTATGAAAGTCGTTAGAACTTGGAAAGATAGCGATGGCTGAAGTAAAAAGTGTTACACCATGTTACAGTTTTGCCCGTCACTGTACATAAAGAGCAAGTTAAATAAAAGCTTGTAAAAAATGTTAATTCCGTTTTAAAAAGTAATAAAATTTGTGCAAAAGATACCGCATTGGTAATAATAATACTGAAAAAGTTGCAACTTCATCGATGACTAACAGCCTTATTCTGTATTACGAACGATAGGCAACACGAACGATTCGTCTGCAGAGGAATGCTTCAAAAATTAGTCCGGCGGCATCATTTTAGCCGGTTTAAACGCAACCGAGATCATTGCAACGTAATGTATGAAAAGCAAGACGAAGACGACCGATAGAGTTTAAAATCGCAATCAGAGAGGTTGTCGTCTGCAGACGAATCGTTCGTGATACAGAATAAGGCCCTAAGTAACACCACTGAAAATATCTAATTTTAAATTTTGTACAGTTACATCAGTGGATGTCGAAAGATCGTTGTCCGTCTATTCATCCCCCTTAAACGACAATTGTGGATCTTTATTATTTCAGAATACCAAGCAACACTTGATTATGCATTGTAAGTCATTAATGTTAAACGTTTTTGCAAACCATTTTGTTAAACAAAAACGCTTAAAATTAACTATAAAAACAAAATAAAAGTGTTGTGTTATAATTCGTAATATGTTTTTTACAGTCTGGAGAATGAAGCAATCGCACATTCTACGAAAGAAGTGCAAATTTTACCAAAATAATTTCGTTAAATATACGAATTATTTCTGTGCATTTTACAAAAATTTCGCAAAAAACTAAGAAATAGCACGAAATTCTTCAGTAAATAGTACTAAATTCGTTAGCAAATAGTACGAATACATTCGTAAAATGTACTAAAGATCTGATGCCTCATATTTTCGTAGTATGCACGAAAACGGTTTTGTACAATCAACGAAAACTTTCGTGGCTCAAAATGACGAAAAATTTCGTAAGATGTACGCAAGTCTTCGTTATATTTACGCAGATTTTATTTTCAGTGTGTGTCTTCATCGGCCCTACAACGATAGGGAAACTTCCTTAAGTTAGCCTATTTCAAAACGTCTCGAAAACAACCGGAGGCAAAAATCTTTTGAAAAACGTGGATCAAGCATATCGAGGATGGCTTTTCCCCCAGTAATGCTCATCGTCTCTTCATCGCTGAACTGTGGGAGTAGATATAATCTAAGGTTCACTAAGTACCTCGTTTATCTATGGAAAACAGACTCCAGAAGGTTTCCGCTACCGCAGAAATATGGTCATCCAGAAATAGTCATTCAAGATCACTAAGAGGCATCAGATCCCGAAGTTGAAGGAGTTTTTTCGGAGATTTTCGAAACTTTGGGCCTTATGGATAAAGAGTGAGCTTGAACTCACTCCATCAGTGCAAAAATGGAGTCTGAGTTTAAGCTCACTTTTTATGCATGTGGCCCATTACCTCCGTTGTAGTAAAAACCACATACGCCAGTCTAGAGTTTTGCAGCTTAGAGAGGAAAAAGCATTTGTCCGTGGATTTACGAGTAACAGACAAAGTGCGTACCTCCCATTCACAAAAAAATATCGTTGCATATAGCGACGCACGCTACTGTAGGCAATTAATTTTTGAAATAAGGAACGACTTTAATTATTTTGGATCGATCATTAACACCGCCAATAATTTCAGCCTGAAGATCATGCGAAGAAAAACTCCCGTCAAAATGTGTAACTTTGGGGTAGGTCAGCTATTGAAAGCTTGACGAACAAAAACCGTGCTCTTATACTCTCTAAAAAGTTCATGTAAAACTACTTCTGAAAAGTGTTTATTTTTCAACCATAATCAGGGTAAATCTACGCATATGATGTTCAATATTGGAATTGTAAACATGAAATGTTTAAAATATATACATGAAATGTTTTAAATTGCAAAACTTTTGAGCGTAAAAATATCTACATTTTCTGCTAATAATTATTACAATAAACATTGAGTCTACGCGACAAAACTGCTGTGCAAAAGTAAACAGGAAATGTTTAATTTTTTACCACGCATTGTAAATTTGCACATATAAGGAGAGAAAACTCTCTTAATATGCGCAAAATTGAAAAACAAATTTTTATAGAGTGTATGGCTAAGAAATGCTACCCTTGAGTTACAACGTAGCAAAGGCGGCCACTAACACAATGGAAGGACCGACTTCAGAAGCACTTGTCTTCTCTTGGTGTAAATGACTATCGGAACTTCGCAGCCTGGAAGCGCAAATGGTGAAGTTTTTCTAAATCTCGGTCCAAACCGACAAATCGATGCAGCTCCAAACAGCAAAAATAAATGTAGACTATATTAGATTACTTTTCTACATGCATAGAATTTTACATACACGCACATGGGTGCATACATACCACGTATTCTATTTCCCTTTAGAATGTTACGGATCACCGCTAAGTGGGACTCTAGTTAACAACCGGAAGGGCCTTTACAGATAATTTTCACGGGCATGCCGCATTTCACGCCTGTCCTCCACAATTATCTATTTTCCTTAGTCGTACTGCGCGTTGGAGAACACGCATCGATGCACTTTGAACGACTGCGCACCTCTAAATCATCCTTGCGCTTCAGTTTGATTCCGCTTAAATGAAAAGCTCACAAACACGCATTCGTATACAAACATGCGAATGTACATCTGAATTATAGTTATATTGAGAACTGAGATTTCGGAGCGCTCTTGGCAATTGTAAGCGCAAAAGGGCAATGCGTTTGTGTTTCCGCTTCAGAGGTTGTATAAGCTGCAAACGTGCCGAGGTGAAGGTATACAACACAGAAAAAAAGAAGGAAGACGTTGGGGAAAGAGACAAAACTTAAACTTGCCGGTAACCTCAACCATCATATGAGACGCAATGTTGGTGTTGGTTTTGGTGGTATTCTACTCCAGCTGGTGCTGTGACCTCTATTCGAACTGCTGAAGTTGTAGTAACTGAACCAAGGAGCAATATTCGTCGTAGAGTGCACTCTTTTTGTCGGCGAATGATCGATGAAGTTGAAAATTTAATTTATGACGTGCAACTTTGAACGGACTGGGAAGTTCGATGCTCGGATGGACGCCTGTTTAATTCTGTGTAGCTGTGTGACTACTGGAAATGCGCTTGAATGTGTATAAGTATGTGACTGCATGAATTGAAATGTGGGAATACTTACATATATTTTAGTATTTGTCGTATCAAGAAAAAATATTGTACATGTATTTATTAATATAAAATATACTTTTTTTGTAAAGTTTATTGAAATCTATACCATTTACTTTCAAAGCGTGTCATTTGATTTTTGCATAAAGACTCGCTGTATGTGTATACGCAACTAACACATGGTGATAAGGCTTGTTGCCAGCAATAGCTTGAAGTCGGCTTTTGTGTACCTACTCGTTCGTTGTTAACCTTCGCTCGACAAACTTCTCTTTCTCTGATTCCTCCCTTTCCATGTGCCTTTGTATCTGTTTTGTTGTTTGTGCTTCCTTAATCGTGCATGTTTAATAGCAATCAGTCAGTTTGATCAGGCGAGTCAATAAATAAAACAAACAACTGCATTACGGTTTCGTTGTTGTTATTGGCGCTAGCTTCATTGTAGTTGCATCTGATGTGTTGCGCGTGGCACGGTAGCACTTGCATGCATATATGTATGTATGGCCTGGAGTGTTTTTGCTGCTGCTGGTGTAAAAACATATGACAACATTTTATAAGCAATTCATCAAACACAATTACTGCACTTTGCTCGTTCTCAAGAACGATGAGTTTACATACATATGTATGTATGTATGCCCATATCTATGTATACATACATACATATATTAATGTTCATAAAAATATTATGTATCAAAAAATTTTGGCACAGTGGCTATTGACAATATTCGTACATATTTACTTATGTGTTTTTATGATAATTTTTTTGTTCATTTTATGAACATTTTTTGGTTCATGATTTCGTCGCTCGAATAAAGAAACAGTGTAAATGCCACATACACTATTATTCGATAATTGCACCATTGGATAGACAATCCTTTAATCTATTAGAAAAAACTTTAGTTTTCTTAAATATCTCTTTGGCTCACTGGATTATTCGCGAAAAACGAAATTGTGTTTGTAGGGTTTTTAATGGTTTATAAAAACTTCCAATTCGTTTTTCTCAAAACTATAATTTTCATGTTACACTATTTCATTATTCCAGCGACGATTTATAAAAAAATAAGTTCATAGTATAACATTTATTAATCCAAATCTTTAGAAAATTTCTTGGTACATGGTAGTTTTTAGCTCATTTAGTGGTAGTATAATTTAGTGCAAATTCGAAGTTTCTCAAAATTTCTGTTAATTTTTAATATTTATCTTTTTTGGTGATAGTTTGGCGCTAAAAAATAATCGTGAAGGCTATTATAAAGCTATTAAAAACCGAAGGGAATTTTTGGCAGCTTGTACTAAATTTAAATGTGCTATAAAATTGTATGGCGGCAGCTGTGGTGTAGTTGTTAGCAGTGCGCGCTACCACTCCGCTGGGCCTGGGTTTAAGTCAGTGGCGGATACACGAATAATATTTCACTATTATGGGTATAGAAAAAAGGCTCTTTAGAAGAAAGTATGCGTAATAAAGTTTCAAACAGGAATTTTTAAAATCATATATTCAATTTTTCGCTTTATTTATAAAATATTTTGATAATCTTAAACACATTAAATTTTTCTTTTTACTTATAAATCAATGAAACGAAGAATTTTCAAATTTTTCGTGGTTTTTTGAAAAATTCTTCTAGAACTTCGTCAACTGAAAAATATATATCTTTGTGAATATTCACAGATGCTAGACTGCTGAGTCTTTCATGACATGTTGTATTTCTCAAGTAGGTTTTAATTCTTTTCAGGCATGAAAGGCTTCGTCCAGGTGTGGCTATTGAAACGGGCAAAAGTGCCAATATACGTAAGATCTTAAAGACATTCCCAAAAGACGTTGTATTAGCTACTTGTAATGCTTCGAGAGCATTTCGAAAATGTTCGTGTGAAACTCGTTTTTCCACATTTTTACCTCCAGAAGAAAGTTTTGTTCAGAGCAGTCGATTACTTTTTCATAGAAAGCAAACAATTCTTCAGTTTTTTTCGTTAAAATCATACTTTGGAAACAAAACACTAAAATTATTTAAAACTGATTTATGGTTTAGGAACCGGTTTTTCAAATGTGCAATATATGTATCAAGGTAGGGAATGTAAAAAGCAATGCGATAGTATGCCTCGGCGTCTCCGGTTTTCACATGAAAGCGATTCTTTTGGCGACTGCTGAATCGCGGTATTTTGATTTCTGTACCTAGGTTGGTGCATACTTCTTCTACGTGTTCGAAAAGCAAATGAAAGTTTTTTCTGCATCTTGTCGCATTTCTTCAAATTCCTTTAAAGCGTAGTCGGCTAAGCTCATTGCTTCTGCAAGATCTTCATTAGGTACTTGTAATTGCCGGCTAGAAAAGCTGCAACAATTTATAAAAAAGCAAATGCTTGGCTGTTGTCGCTGTGCTAACAGTTTTTCAAACCCTGAAAATTTCTATAGATATTCGCACGATACAAATAATTTTTACGGTATTTTCCCCGAGACAAATAAAATGTTTTTGACAATTGGAAGAAATACAACTTCGAAAGTCTTTTAAAAACGATTTTTCATTTTGCTACGTTAGAGCCGTTGCCGAGAAACTTATGGATACATATACATATACACAAAAATTGCTCGTTTAAAATAATTAGAATAAGTAGCAAAATTTCCCGCAATAAAATTTTATCTATACCAAACAAATTTTTTAAAATTCTGATAAAAAAAATTTGAAATTTTGATCATTACATAATTAGAAACTTTTGATGAGATTTTTGAAATTTTTTCTACAGTTTGTACACAATTTGAGACTCCGATAAATCTAGATTTTACTACAAATAGCATTATATTTAGTTTTATGCAAAATTTAAAAAAGAAGACATAAAAAATATATCAATTGCTTAGAATAAAAAGCTTCTAAGGGCAGTTTAAGTTTTACAGCAGAGTTAAAGAACTTCTATTTCGGACTTATACAAATTTCTGTGCCTTCTTTGGAATTTCCCAATTTATTGAAAAGAATCAGGTAGAATCAGGTTTAATACTAGCGATGTGCGACTATTGGCAATAAATTGCTGTGCGAAAATCTTTTTATCCACTGTATATTTGAGCACATATTGACAATAATAATTTTCATACTAATATTCTTTTTAATTTGGAAACGTTAAATAACACACTAGGGAGGCAAAAATATCACAACAAAAGGCCAAACACGTATCTAAAATTTTTACCTCTAGATTATGATGCCGTTTTCAGAAAATCCGTATCATGTTCAAACTTTGAGATATTTAGGAGGGAAGTTTTAGAGCTAAGAAAGTGAAATTTTTGTCGTTTATTACACTGTGCTTAGGTTTTTAACTGTTTTTTCTGGGCAAAGGCTTTGATAGCTGATCTTAATTAACTGGTACCTTTTTAATACAATGGCGTCCCCCGGTTGGCCAGACTGGCTAAAGTCTTCGAGATCACGGTACTTGAAAATTTGCTTAAATTTAAATTTTTTTTAATAATTATCTCAGTTTTAAAGTTATTCTACTAAAATTGCACGTGACTGTCTTTTGTTATTGCCTTAACTTTTTCTGAAAATCATCGAAATCGGTTGACTATAACATATAGCTCCCATACAACTGATTGTTCAGAAATGTGGTTTGTGTTATAATCAGGGTTGGTGGGAATATTATTTAAATTTTAATATAAAAGAAAAAATTGAGCTGTTTCCTATTAAAATTTTTGTAAATTGTACTTGGATGTGAAATAGCAAATTTTAAAAATTTTTTGTGTTATTAAAGCAGGCAAAAATAGCCATTTTACAAATGGTTTTATCAAGATAAAAAAATGCTCACGCCCAAATATTGCCTCTGATAAAATTTATATCAGGCAGTAAAAATGACAGTTGATAGGTAAAAACTTTTTACTGTGGAGAAGGGCCGTAACAAAAGTTGAGCAACGCCAGCACAAAAGCAAAACAGAAAGATGGCGAACTCTCAACTGTTCGCGTGCGTCAGCTGTTGCAAATAAATTAAATTATGTGAAATAATATTCCTTTTTAATCAAATGCGGGCAAGAAATATCGTTTTTAATGCAATTATTGATATAGATTTATCTGCCGCTAGTACGTATGTTAATTTATTGTAGCAAGCACTGGCGATACTCGCGCTGCTGTCAAAGCGACGCTGAAGCTGACGCAACGCCAAAGTTGTATGTGGCCGGACCTCAGAGCGACATTTTTGATTTTTACCGAAAGTTTACCGACCGCATGTATTTCAATTTCATATTACTGTCGTATATATGAAATCGGAGCGAATTCATTCGGCATATCACACTGCAGTAAGACCGGTCAGTAAAATCTGAAAATTGACTGCACACATTTTTTCGGCGTACAAAAACAAGAAGAAGAAAGTAAAAAGACAGTAAACAAGTAAGTTTTGAGGCAAAATATAAACTCACTTCAGTTTTCATATAAAAATTTAAGATTATCGTTAATTTCTTTATGACCTAATAATCGGATTTAAACCAAATTAGTATGGGACCACCTGTGAGGTAACACTTTTCCTTGAAAAAAAGAATAATAGAAATCGGTTAACGTGGTCCAAAGTTATGCGGAAACATACATAAAAACAAAAATATATATATATCTATATATTTTGTGAAGTCGGTTAAAAATAAATATAACAAGCTATAACGTCGTTGTCTTCGGCAGAGGATCTTTTTTTTCAAATGATATATGTATGTAATTTCGGGCATTTTCGTTTTTTTTTGTATTTTTTTTCCAAATTACATGCCGAAAGTATTCGTGTGCAACGCAACACGTGGGCGGAAAAAATGTCGATCCGACGTCATTCCGAGTACTGTGAAAAGGCTCTTAAGGTATTTATCTAAATAATACACAGGACTACTTTTTTATTTATATAACGTCCATTTCAATGTTAAACATTATTATTAATTTCTAATAGATATTTTATGAGTTCTTCGATGGATTTGACTTCTACCAACCCTTAATTTCGAAAGTATTGAATTATTAAAAGTGTTTAAAACAATGTTTAAAACATGTAAATTAAAACATGTACGAAAAACTTGTTTAAACCGTGTTTTTTTCTTTTTTGAATAAAACGTCGTTTTAAAAAAAAAAACAACCCTGGTGCCTACAATAAAATTTTATTAGACCCCTAACCTAACTGGGTGTGGATCACCCTCTGGACGAATTTGTTCGAGGGGAAATTTCCCCTCCCAAATCCGAGTCGGTCGAGAAATCCGACTCTGGTTAAGAATTTCAATTACACTCTTGGTATTGTGATTCTACTTCCAGAACAATTTCGTGCAAATTCAAATTTTTTTCTGATTTGAAATTGGCCATTCTTATAGATTTTGTCGCTGAATTCATATCTGAAAAATATGCAAAGCATTTTAAGATACATCTCTTGTCCTTTCACAAGCCGAACAGTGTGCTTTTTGAACACTGCACGCGAATTAATTTTAGCGCTTTCGACAGAAGCAGCATTTTGATACGAAACAAAATGGATTTGAAACCTAAAGTAAATCCCTTTCAATTGTGGCTACAAAGCCACAATTACCCCTTGATCTTAAAAAAATTTATCAAAAGTAGTGTTCTTCGAAAAATAAATATGCAAAATACACGGGATTTATTACACAACAAAAAATGTATGTATTTTTTATTATATTAGTATTATAGATTTTGAGACGAGCAACACGATTCCACTGTTCAAAATTCGAATAAAAAATTGAACACCTTAATTTAAACAAGTAAGAAAGTCTAAGTTCGGGAGGAGCCGAACATTAAATACCCAAGTATTAAATATACGTTTTTTCACATTTCCGAAACCTATCGCTCCATGGTAAGCCGGGCTGTATCAATTTTCAGTAAATTAGCGTCCTTAAATTTCGAAATATTGAAGTTTCAAGCATTTCTGAAATTTACCGTTATATGAAAAGCGGCCGTAATTTTAGTCCGATTTCAATATAACGTTTTGCTTTTATGTGGCAAGCACAATAAAAATACCGAGTTTGGTACAAATTGCTAGAACGGTTAACGAGATACATATATGTGATCATAAGTGGGCGGTGCCACGCCCATTTTCCAAAATTTTACTATAAACGTATTTCTTGGTAAAGAAATGTTGCAAGCATCAATTTTGAATAAATTAGCTTTAATATTTACTGATTTATCGAAGATTTTGTATTTTTCTAAATTACCGTTATATGGGATGTGGGCGTGGTTATTGTCCGTTTTTAAACATTTTCGGCCATTTGGTATATTGTACCAAGGCCAACACCTGTGCTGAGTTTGGAAGAAATTGGTGAGGCGGTTACCAAGATATACACATGTAACCATAAGTGGGCGTGGCTACGCCCATTTTCCAAAAATTTATAATATTCTTATTTGTCGTCTGAAAATTATTGTAAATATCAATTTTGAGTGAATTATCTTCAGTAGTTACTAAAATATCGCAGTTTTCGTATTTCTTGAAATTACCGTTGCATGGGAAGTGGGCGTGGTTACAGTCCGATTTCGCCCATGGAAACGTATGTACCAAATTTCGTTGAGATATCTCAATTGTTGCTCGATTCGAAATATTTATCGTGTACACGGACGGACGGACAGACGGATAGACGGACAGACGGACGGACAGACAGACATTGCTTAATCGACTCGAACAATAAGTGCAATTCAAGACCTTCATTTTAAGCCAAGGTAGACGCCTCGAGGCCTTCTGAGAGCCAAGTTATAAAATTTTAAACCAAACTTCGAAACTGCTGTACTAGTTGTTACTCCGAAATTAGAAAAAAATGCGTAAAATGTCGAATGAAATTTCGAAGTTTAACTTTAGAAGCTTAATAATTTAGCTCTCAAAGGGCCTAGAGACTTCTACCTTGGCTTAAATTAAAGGTCTTGAATAAATATCACTACAGCTGACTTGTTGTTCGAGGGATAAAAATTGTGTGAAGGATGCACAGCAGCATGCAAATAATAAAAAATGTAAAATGTAATGCATTTTTCAAATTGAGGCGTTGAATTTTTTTTTCGTTTTTTAACAGTGGAATCGTGTTTCTCATCTCAAAATCTATAATATTAGTATAATAAAAAATCCAAAAGATGTTTTTTTTTTAATATATCCTTTGGATTTTGCATTTGACCGCTTTTTTTAAAGTCAAGGATTGCGTGTTGCTCAATGGTAATATTTTTCCTTGATAGGCAATTATTGGCTTTCAAAGCCGTTTTACTTCATATCAAAATATGCTTCTGTCGAAAGCGCTACGATTAATTGGCATGAAGTGTTAAAAAAGCACACTGTGTGCCGTCGAGTTAGCTCGATTATCTTATTTTTCAGTCGAGAAATGTAATTTTGAAATTTAAAATTACTGCGGTGTATTTTTCTCAGAAACATATGACTCAAAACATATGATTTGTAAAAATATAATTCATTTATAAACATCATGTCTATCACACTTGGGCGTACACAATTTTTGATTCTTATTCCCTTATTGCTTAGCACAGTGTGCTATAATTAGGAATTCAGTAGCTATATTTACTGATAGCCAAGCACCTATTGGAGCACTTTATTGTAAGAAATCTACTTCGAAGATAGTTATGGATAAAATGTAGACGAACTCTGCATGGGCTTTCAAGGAGATACGTCTCACAAAAGACAGTTTCGCCCGACTCCGTTTAACGATGGTGATTTTATCAGAGGCTCGCAGAAATACACTCGAAGGTTTGCCATTGCTAGCCGAGGGGCGACCGCTTTTAGAAACAACCTTTTCATAACCTATTTTTCGATTTTGGTCGGAAACTGTGATTTAACCCAGGCATGTGGAATAATATGGCGCAGCACAACAGCGGCCGCCAAAGTAATATTATATTAGACATAGGTATGTAATTCTGCACACGTAGATAAGTACCTATATACATATGTAACTCATTTGTCAAACGCATGCAGTCGTACATGCACACTACATATGGAGTTTCAGCTTAAAGTTTTAGTTATAAATTGAGAACTGTTAATTTATTTATTGGTTACGTTTTATGTTTTTTTGTGATTTGTTTTGATTATATCTACTTAAAAATATATCCGTTTTTTAGCCGAAAAACTTAACTTGGCCGTTTTCTTTATTCTTTTAGCACTGCACACAAGTGATTTTTGTGCCAGGCTATAACACATATCGGGCAACTATGTTTCAGAAAAACTGGTGAGGAAAGGAGCTACATACATTTTTTGCGATCAGTAACAATCGTAATGCGGCATTCCGCCGTCTTCTTGAAAACTCTAATGGAAAATAACTTTATCGAACCGGAAAATATAATTTTCGAAGCTTTTTATTAAAAAAGTAATTTATTAATTTCTTTAATCCTTTCGAAGGAAAATCCGACGGTATTTTTCAACAGCGTTTGGATCGTTTTGTTTCTTTCAATATGTATATGTACATACAATGGATAACAGGAACATCTGCTTCTGTAATTCGTGAGAGAACCTTCTTCACTACAAGTGCTTAGCCCCGCTCCTGCTGAATTCGAAATAAATTCTACATGATATCACCCCATCGACTCGACTATCGGAAACAGTCTCCAACTGCAACTAACCACCATTCAAAATTTACAGAGAAGCGAACGGCACTGTCAACGTCGACGCCTTCTGCTGAATATTTTTGACGCCAGTTCGCTCGGAAATTTATGTGTGAAATAAAGTTGCGTGAAAAAGGACAATGGCGAAAAAAGTAACATGGCTCAGCGCCAACTACACTGTCGTTGTTGTTGCTTCTGGCTAACATAAAGAAAGATAATAACGCAATTCGTCACACTTAACTCAGCCCGTTGTGCGTCATCTCACTTGCTCTTCAGTGTTACCGGCGCATCTATATATATCGCTTGCTCTCTTGCACATAGTCATCCATCTTTCGAGCTGTTTAGCCACAGGCTCTTTGGCCGACGCGGCTGCCGATCAGTAATGTCGACTGACAGCTGCTGCACTGCACAGTGTAATGGCAATGCTTTATGAGTTCGGCTCCTCCCTCAGCGATGTGGCCCTAGTTTTGCCAATTGGATTGCGCCGAGAAAGTATATAGGTACGTATGCTTGTGTTGTATTATGCTTGTGGGTTTGCTTGTAGTGCTTCAATCGACCCCACGTGGTGGATTTGATTTTCTCTTTTTTGCCAAGATTTCGTGCGCTCTCTCTGCCGCACAGCTGATGCTGATTAATGTTTCTGCCGGAGTAGAGCTCTTGGTGGTGTTGGGATTGAATGAAATATTTTTATTGTATTCTTCTTTGCCTTTGGGATATTTGGATTGTTCTCTCGGTCACTGCTGATTATTTTATGGCTTAAATTGAGTGAATGAGTACCAAATGAGTGAGTGCGCTGTTTGTCAGGTCATAACTCAACGGTGTGCGAGTGAGTGTGTATGCGTGCATTGGCTGTCATTTAATGTACTGCTTTGAGTTGTCGTATAACGGAGTGTTTATTTACGGCCATGATTGTTATGCCGACGGCAAACATGGCTGTTGCAGTGCGGATCACAGCAAAGTGGTGTTCAACAATTAGAAAAGGGGATGATCGGCCATTAAATTTTATTAGAAAAAAAATAAGTGGCGTTTAGTTTCGGGTCTTATGCAGAGTATTAGAAGAATATTTTCTTAGCTGTAGAAATTTATGAGTGTACATAAATACATATGTACATATATACATACATACATACATAAATGAATAACAAAGCTTTTAAATTTATAACATTTAATTTTAAAGTTACCTATTCTTATAATTTAAAGAAGGGGGATTTTGTAGATGTTAACACATCTGAGCATATACAAAACAAAAACAAAGTGTAACATAAAAAATCGACGAGTCATTGTACATTAAAATGCAGCATGGCGGGAAACATTGATGCGGATTCCATTATATAGATATAAAGATTTTCCAAAGAATATCTACAGGTAAATGCTCAGTCCGACAGCGGCAAGGTTTATTTAACAAAATTAGCGCTTTGCCAAACAATATTTTAAATGTGAATATTGAGGGCAGTGTCATTTAACACCGCTGATAATAATCGTGAACCTTTGTCATGCATTTGCTCTTATCATATATTGCACATTATAGCCTAAGCAAAATGCGAAAAAACAACTACACATCAGCAAACTGCAAAATAAATCGATTTGGTATATAACTTAATATCTTGTTATTTTGAAAAAATTGTATCCTTCATAAACTGTTTATGCATTTTAAAGAAGTACTAATAACGGTCTATTAAAACATCATTAGATAAGTCTTATCGTTTATAAATGTTTTAATGTACCTATCCACAATAAATTCAGCAATGGCAGTGTGTCTACCGTCGGTGTTTCAGCAGATGGCTGTTCAATTTAGAATTGCTTATACTGTAGTAAGTAAAGAAGACTGCAGCAAACGAGGCAGCAAACAACCAACTCCAAAGTGCAACTATATACAGTTATAACTTAGCTCAATAGCACACTTGACTTGTTTAGTTATAGAAATTCTACAGTATTCTCAACGAAATGAGAAAGGAGAATTATGTATGTAACTTCTTCCCGTTGGATATCTTTAGACAGAAACGGAGAGCGCAATTCACTTTCTGCAAGTGTATTTATAGCTTCGTAGTATTTACATACATATACACATATATTTACGGAGGCACAGTGAAGAGTTGCCGCAGCGACAAAAAGTATCTTCCGCTGAAAAACCCTATTACATAAAATACAACTTACTTTACTCCAGCCCGTTCAGCAAATAGAAAAATAAAATGTTATCTTGTTATCTTGGAACTGATTCGCCATTGAATATTGTTCTTTTATACTGTGCTAATATTTGTCAGTAGGAGTGGTAGATCTTGAATTATATAGAGTATTAAAATTAAAGAAATATAGAAGGTGATAGTATTGAAAAGGTCCATACCACTTTCCCTATTAAGTAAAGTGAGTTTTCATAGAAGATCGACACCTAGTAAACTAAGATATATAAAATAACGCGCCGCACAGTGGGAGAAAAAGCTGGCCAGTATTCCAAAAATCGAAGTTGTCCGACGGTTGCAAAACATGGTAATTTGTCAAGAGGAAGATCTATCGTAGTGGATGAAAAGTATAAGGCACCCTTTTCCTGTATCTTCTACACTAAAGTAGTTTGAACTTGCTATTCTTACTAAAGTTAGTGCTGTAATTGTAGTGTAATTATTTTTTTGCGAGATAGAGAGCGTTTCTGGCGGTATCTTAAATAATCTAAGCCATGGAATCTAAAAATTAATTGTAAAAGCTGTCTCAAAAAAAAAATATATAAGAATATTTTCTTATTTGATTGTTGAAAAAGTTTTGATCGCGGGAGATCGGGCTACTCTGTACTTTGAAGATAATAGCAAAAACAACGTACTTAAAGAATTAAAAAAGAAAGGATCTAACCAGATTCGTCCAAGTTCTATTGCAATTCACGATTGAATAGCCCGATAAAATAATAAGAGTGCTCATTGTGTTGTGTGGAAAGCTTACACAGGGCAATACTGACTTAACACTTCCGGATTCGTAATCACACAAAAAAGTCCATCCAAAACAGCTTTAAAATTTATTGAACAATAAAAAAATATTGAAAAAAAATTTGCTTAAATTCAATTTTTGCTGTTCAATAAATAACTATAAGTGCCCTTTTGGTCTAGATGCAGGGATGGTATTTTGAGGGACCATAGTCGACAGTTCTAGTTTTAATTTAAGCCTAAGTGGAAGGTTTTGTCACCCTTTTTTTTGGTAGGGCTTCTCAAATATAACACTTCGAGTTTTTAAAAAGAACCGTTATATGGGAGGATTTTGTCTATATTTACAGCTTATACTAATACATATTCACTAAAGAAGCATGTGTTCCAAATTTTAAATCTCTAGGTTAATTTTTACTATATATGATCAGCGTTTTTGTGATTTCTCCCACTGTGCGCCTCTATTTACTTTGCACACCATTCATTTTAGTATTCTAGTTCTCTCACAGAGTTATACTAGAACTTATTTTCGTTCTTAATTATTAATTATTTAAAGTTCCGTTTACTTATCCATTAGGCTACCCTGTGCGCCTGATACATTAATATTTTGTAAACGAAGATATGAAGTACGAGCAGTTTCGAACACCAACATGTGATTACTACTCAGAAAGCAAAATGACTCACTGAGAATTCGCAAATTCTCAGCTCACACAATAATTCAACAATTCAACGTCAAGTTGTTGTGCGGCAACAAAATATACCTCCATACATTCATATGTATTATGTATGTGCGTCGATTCTCTGGTTTTCACCAACAAATTATTTCACTCGACTGCACTCACTCCACAATCGACCGTTTGGTGTTTCGGGTGGCAAACGGTGGCGCTCACATGCTACCCGCATATAGAGTACAAGAGGCCTCGTAACTCAAACTCGCAAGCAAAGAAAAGCAAACAGCCCATTGCTGGAAATGAGGGTACTGGGGAGTAGAGAAGGCTTCTGTTCACTACGGTAGAACGAAGCGTCTGTCTGCGCTGTAAAATCCGGCTGTGTATGCCACCGTGCGAGCTATGAAGACACGAGCGAATGAGCGCCAAACACTGCCGCATCAAGGCACCGCGTACACCCCTAGCTAACCGATACAAAAACTCTCACATAAATTTCAGCAATAAACGAAACAAACTCAACACACAATAAAATAGCAAGCACAACAAAGTTTACTACTCGCAGTTGGCGCGGTTAAATTGAGCAGATGGCAACTGCTCACTCACCAATTTCTGTAGTTGTTGTATTCGTTGGAAGATTCAAAAACAAGAAGTTCCCACAATAAATTTCGCCAATCTTCTCGGAGTAGATTTTTCGGTATCCAGTGGATACTTTATTGCTTCGGCGCGCTGGCATCGACGCCGCATGGTCGCCACACAGAACAAAGAAGGCAGCGGAGCATGCAGCAACTGACGTTGGAGCAGCTCTGCTGCAGAATAACATAAATAAACCCCAATATGGAAGAGAGCAACAAAAGCCTGTAGCAGCGGCAGCGGCAGTGGCGATGGCTGCGGTACAACACACGCAACGTATGGGTTAGCATTGTTGGGCCAAATAGCCAGAATTTTATATTGGTGGCGCTTCTGTGGCTATCTTTCTTATAAGAATATTTCTCATGTGCTGCCGCTGCGGACTTCGCCATTCCCACCTCCGTCATAGTTGCCGGCGCTGCTGAGCGCGATTTGACGATTTGAGATTTTATTTTTGTACTTTATTTCTCTCCATGCATAAACACACTTTGTTTCTGGCGTTCTGCATTTTTTCTTGCTTATACCTATAGCAAGGTGGAAAGGGTGCAAGGGGTCCCGGCACTTTGTTGTATACGGCAGTGCTCGCAAACGACAGCGTGTCTGTTGTGGCTTCAATTGACTTCTTGTTTTTGTTGCATGCGTTAACTGCCTCTGTTGGTGATAACATCACTTTGTCGTTGTTGTGTGTACCTCTCCCTGCTCATTCATTTTATTGTCATGGCTGTAGGCAACGCTGGGCCGCAACGCTCGCTTGCTTCGCTGCTGCTGCTGCTACTGCTACTGCTGCAGCTGATTGTTTGCTCGATTTTGCTTGCTCGCGCAGCCGTGTGCACGGATAGACGGAATTTCACATGTAGCCGCCGCGCTCGTAAATATGTGAAGTATATGCCTTGAATTGAATGCTTTATGGGTTTAGTTTGATAGAAGTCGTAAAGAAATCAACATCAGCATTATCAACAATACACATAGAGAAATTACCCTAAATATAATAATAACCGTGGGCAATAAATATTAAAACAAAAAATTTTCGGAAGCGACAACTTATCGTGTGAACCATTGAACGACTCAACTTCAAATGGTCTAATTTGCAGCACACGCCCGTTCGCATATAGTCAGTAGATGCAATAGCCTACGCTGCAAAATCATTCACTTTGAAGGCCATCGATTTGCCAAAACTCGAAAAAGGCTCTGAAAAATAAGCAGCTGCTGCAAAGAGACGCAGAGTG